CATCACAGTATGGAAAGGGGCGTAACATTTCCGTCACACACTTGAGGCATTCGGCCAATCACAACGCATTGGATAGCTGGCCAATCAGAGCACACCTCGCTTTTCAGACCGATGAGCTTTGTAAAAATCGACGCGTTTCAGAAAGGCGGGACATAGAGGAGAAACAATAATGTACAGTATGTTGAAAATAATGTGTTTTTTTAACCTTAAACCACATAAACACATTTCATTACACCAAATACACAAAATAATGTTCTTTTTAGCAACATCATATGACCCCTTTAAGCACCATGCTCGTTTACGTTCATGGTCATTTGCATTCAGAAACGCCTCCAATGAACCATTTATGGTGACAAGACCTCCCTTTATTATCAGGTGAATGTATACATCCTCACTGAAGTCATGGCAAAGAAAGTGGTACCGATTGAGCCATTCTGTGCTCTCATTAAACAGATCAGCGCACTCTTTGAAAACGCGTTCTCTACGCAACGCTTGGTTTGCCAAATCTTCCAGCAAAGCGAGATCAGCCATGACCATATAGCTACATTTCAAATCGACTTCCCAACTGTCTTTTATAGCTTTTCACACTAATTGTGCAAATGTTTAGCTTGAAATATGAAATATGAAAATGAGCATTTGCAATTAAAGGACACATGCGGCGACACTTTCTTTTTGTAGTATCGCCATTCTACCACTAGATTCTCTGTGTAAGCATGCTCAGAGTTGTGCTTATATTTACACACACTCATTACGCATTACTCATGATACACATATCATGTGCGTATGCACTCGCACTGTTGATAAATGAGGGCCCAGACATGCTGTCTTCTAGAAATGGCCATGTTGACATTAGTAGTAGTAGTAGTAGTAGTAGTAGTAGTGTAATCGTTCATTTGTCATTATTAATTGATATATTATTATTCTATTTAATTTAATTTATTAGATTTAATTTCTTTTTAATTTTGCTCCATTATCAACCTTCTTTATGCTTTATCAGTGTCCTCACATTTATATTATATCTCCCGTATTCCTTTTTAACACCATATATCTTCTGAAAGTGCTTGGCTCCTCTTTGAATCTTGTTGCCCGTGATGTTTAATGGAGCTTGTGGTTCAAAGAGCTAATGACAGCAGGGTGAATGTAACATCCACTCACTCTTTGTGCTGCGCTGAAGAGCTGCTGTTAGCTGTAATGTTCTATGAATTACCTCACTTGGCCTTATCAGATTGCTCTCATCTTACAAAGTGCAGTAATTTAAGATATGGTCCTCTCATCTCCTAGCATAGGATAGGTGGTGTGAAAAAAGCAACAGGATGGAACAAACGATTATAGTTTCAACAAAAGATCCCTTATGTTTGACCTGGTGGATGTGGTGGATATGTCATTCTTCAACTGCTGAATATCTAGAATGATGTTTTTGTCATTGCATTAATTTTTATTATGCAACATGTTGTTGTATGCTATTTTACACTTCTTTTAAATTGCATTTATAACATTTAGGAGAACTAAATATAGAAATGATGGGGGTTTTCGAGTCTTTAATTATAAAAGTAGAATGATTTTTGTAAGTCACTTGAAATAATCTGGCTTTGCTTTTATTTGCTTATTAAGATAAGGATTGTGGCAGCCAAGAATTTTGAGCGGAGCATGAGGGAATATTCTGCACTCTTCTGAGAGCTGTGGGAGTTGTGGTGCTAGAACAGGAGCATGGGCTTGTGGGTGTTTCAGGAAGATTAAGCCGAACTGTGCACCAAGTGGGTGGACAGGCGTGGATATGCCAGGTTTTTACGCAATCTCAGAGTTTACAGAAAATGTATCAAACTGACTGCAGCCATGTTGATTGAAGGAAAATAAGTTTGTGTATAGGTGTAAAAAGGCAGGATGAATTCTGGTTTGTCGACATTAATTTTAGTGAAGGGGCAGACTATGTGTTGTTTTAATAGTAATTCAAAGGCGTTGGTTGCTCGGTTTTTTGTCATTTGTGGGTTTTGTGTTGTGGAAATACATGTACAAAGTCATGATCCTGGTTCATGGGGTTCATCTCACACTTCTCATTAGCGCCCCCTGGTGTTTAGTACTCCATTGGCATGTATGGAGCAAACCACAATTAGCTCCTGATGAAAAGTTGACAGATATTTATTTCATTATATAAATTAAAATGAAAAAAAAAAAGTTATAATATAATTCATCTTTAATTGAAATTTAAATAAATATTATATTATATTATATATTATATTAAGGGTGATTATTAGAAATTATTATTTGTGAAGGGAGAAAGAAAACTATTTTTGTAACAACATATTTTATTTTCTATATACCAGTTCATATACCAAAATTGGCATATTTACCAGTGGTGATTAACTTTATGTGTAATAAGTTGTGACACCTGCTAAACCACATATAATATAGTAGCAGGCTGCATTATTTAAAATAAATAAATAAATATTTTTTCAAAAAATTCAAGTAAATTAAAATGTATTATATTATATTTATTATATTATTAGAAAGATACTAAGGGAGAAAGAATATTCTGTGTGTGGCAAGATATTGATTCTCTATGAGCACCATTTCATTAATATACCAAAATAGGCATATCAGTATTTACCAGTGGTGTTCATTTTTATGCATACCCAGTCGTGACACCTGCTAACCCACAATTGAGCCATCACTCTGAGCCCAAGAGAGCTCTTATAATTGGATGATTGGCAGGTGGATATGGCATGTGTGAAATTCACTCATTTTTGAACAATTATTTGTGTGTAATGA